CCATTTTCTTTTTCCTTGTGCTGAGAGGAGACCAATATATCACCGGCACCAAAGAAAGAACTCGGCCAATATGCAGCACTCTTGACCTCACGCTTCGTTAATAACGCCTATATCGATGACTAGTCGATGCATTTGCTCACGTTAGTAGCAAACACCCATGGGCCAAAATAGACACTGAATCGACTAATCAGAGCGCGCCCTTTGTGTTGGTTCTGTTAGAAACTACTCGAAAATCCCAATCATATAAGTATTAATGCCACGTCCATAGAATCAAAGGTTGAAATTCGTACTGCCGAACAAACCGAGAGAGAACAGAGAGCTAAATATATCATTATTAAAAAATTAACATAAACTGACTGACAACCACAGATTTACATGTATTAACGATATGTTTACAAATTACACAAAGACGAGCTTGAATAGTGGGAAACAAAGACATCTTTTGTCAGATGAACTTTCTGTTCAAATGGCAAAACAATAGTGATCGTACACCGTGACATACTCGCAATCGAAACATGGCGCAATTAGATCTTGAGCTTTGTTTCCGCGTAGCTTTTCTCGCTGTACTTCTTCCTCTGGCTTCAGGTGAGCACCGTATCATTTGAAATCTACTCGTAACTTTTTTTATCCTTTTAATGACTAAATGAAGCGGAATTGGTTGGATATATCTTTCACCTTTGAGTTATAAAGCCTAAGACTTCCGCACCCCATCGCAACTTAATCGCCAACGCAGACAACTTCAGCAACGTTTTCTTCAACTTTAATTATCAAATTTAGCGAAATTTGTTTATTCATCTTTCACTTTTGAGTCCTGAAGCCTAAACGCCTGTTATTCAAACGAGGTCTAACCCAAACCGCGGTTTTACCCGAGCAATGGGCCTCAGGTACTCTCAGTTTATGAGTTGACTCAGTGATGAGATAAAAGTCCTTCGACTGTTAGTTTTCGGCCCTCTTGTCACTGTTCACAAAAAATAAATGTTCAGATAAAAGGTTCCGCTCAGATGAAGATAATGTTGAACGCGGTTTTGTTAAACAACGGCTAAACTTTGTTTAAATAATCGGTCCTGAGACTTCCGCACACCGACGTAACTTAATCGCCAATGCAGACAGCATCAATACCAAAAAGGATAGGAGAGCTATTCCGGTTTTCGCACAGTTCTCATGAAAATATCACCTTAAAACGAACCGGAAAGTTAAAAACCTCTATGCGTTTGTAGCTTTCCCAGCGAGGAAGCAAAGAGAAACTTAAAGTATTCAGCTTAAACTTTAAATCATTCAGCAAACAGACAGAGTATGAAACAACTATGTTTCTTTAGAGTTATCAGGTGGTAACATCTGCCACAATTTCAAGTTAAAGGGCCCTTGGAAATTATTCTACCAGTACTGTTTACTCAGTAATTTTAGCTATGCACTTTAGTGCAAAGATTTCCATTTAACCCGGTGCTCTTCTGAGACAAAGTTAATCGCAGATGTTCTGTTGTTTTCACCAAAGAATTGTATGCATAATGAGGTAAGGATTAAGTATTATGGATTCTCAATTTTCCTCAAAGAACTCTTGTAAAGAGGCAGTTTTCACCTTAACAGCTGATAACCCTGGAGGGCACAACAAAGCATCAAAGGGTGAAATTTAAACTGACGAACAAACAGAAATTAGAAATTAACACAGCCCAATTGTAAACTCCGAATTTACATGCAATGACGATATGCTACAAGTTATGCAAAAACGAGCTTGAATAGCGAGGAAACAAAGACATCTTTTGTCGGATTAGCATTCTGTTACATATGGCCGGTCATGCAAAACAATCGTGCGGTATTCCATGACAGTTTCGGTCGAAACATGTCGAAATTTAATCTCGAGCTTTGTTTCCGCATAGCTTTTCTCGCTGAACTTCTTCCTCTGGCTACAGGTGAGATCATATTATTTGAAATCTAATCTTAAGGTTTATCTCTATTCTAATTTAATACATCTAGCGGAATTAGTTGAACATAGTAACTATGGTTGAACATGTCTAAATGTTACGCGCACATCACAACTTAATCGCTAATGCAGACAGCATCAATACCAAAATGATAAAAGAGCTGCTCCGAGTTTCGCATTTTGTTAATGATAAGATTATCGTGCAAAAAAAAGGGACAGTTGAAATCCTTCACGCTTTTGTGACTAGCTCAGTTAGGCACATGAAGGAAAGAGTTACGAAAGTCAATTTAAACTTTGAACTATTCTGTCAGCAAACAGAGAGTCTGAATCCATCCTGAAGCTGTCGGGTGGTAACATTTGAATCAATTCAGGTTAAAGCGCCCTTG